CAACACCAGCAATCAACATCCAATTAATGCACAACTATATTCTACCCACTTGAAGACTCTGCACCAATATAGAAGCATCAAGAAATATGGACCAATAGGCCCTTTGCAGTTACTTCCATTCTTCCCTTTAGTTTACCCAATTTATACCCATTGTTTCGTGTTCTATCTTGTGTTGAAAGTTTTGTTCACCGCATCCAAAAATGTTGTAACATATCACCTCACCCAAATGCGGGTATATAAGATGAAAGCTGTTTAAATGATAGCATAGAACTCTGTTTAGTGTTCACAGGTTATAGTTGTGTGTGTGTAAACTAAAGTCTTTGAAAATGTAATAAGTTATTACAAAATGCGTTCAAGTGTCGCGTCAGACTAGAAATAAAAATGAATTTTGGAGAATTGATTTTTCAATTACTATCGACAGGGAAAAGAAACATAAGAAATATTGAGAAAATTCGTGTTAGAATTATTAATCTTACTTTTTCGGTCATAATTAATATATATATATATATATATATATATATATATATATATATATATATATATATATATATATATATAACATGAAAATATTTAAATTGGCAGATGTTTCCTAATAAAGGTGAGCCTCTTTCTTGCCTTTGGAGGGGGAACATTTCCACAAGAAGAGTTTTAATATTAAGGAACCCTTACATGTGAACTATGAACGGGCATCATGGGCGGATTTCGCGACGTATCTGGAGTAACTTGGGATATCATGAATGACAGAAGGGAATGGAATAATATGGGGGTGACAAGAGCAAGACAGTGATTGTAAAATACGGGTAAAATGTGAGTCTTGTTAGACAGAAATGTGAGAAACTCTCCCTCTCGCATCCTAAATGGGTGTGTGTTTCATTAGGACTCGAAAAACCAGCGATCTTTCAAGAAACGCTAAATCAGTATCATAGTGTAAGGCATTAAGATGTAGCCATCAATGATGTAACCTCCACCACTCTACAATTAACCGTAGGAGTGCCACAGGGTTCTAAGATCTTCTATCTTAGAATCTCTCCTATTTATTATATACATCAATGATTTGCCAAATGTCTCTAACATTTCTAAACCTGTACCATTTGCTAACGATACTATCCTCATTTACTGAGACTAACCCACATACACTAAGTAATGTTGTAAATACCGAATTATAAAAATTCAGCCCATGTATGTCAATTAACAAACACTAATTATAGAAAAGACGTAGTACATTTTATTTGGAAGAAAATCGTCAAACGAAGTTCAAGTTCAGATAGAAAATGTTAACATCAGCAATATAAATGATGAAATGTTCCTTGACCCTATATTTCAGAGAGACTCAACGCAACACCCATATGCAACACATAGCCAAAAAAGTATAACAAAACTGTCGGTTTATTCTCTAAAATCAAATATTTTTTCCCTTACTCTGCTCTCCTCTCTTTATACTACTCGCTAATTTATCACATCTTACATACGGTATCTGTGTATGGGGTTTAACCACTGCAAATTTATTAATTTTTAAGCAAAAAAAAAATTCATTTATTTTTATGCAAGTAATTTATAAATTGCCTCATGCCATCATCACCCAACAGAAATCTGCTATCATAATCACAACAAACTCTGTTTTCAGATAACGCACATCCCCTCTGTTTAAATCCCAAACATGCTAAACATACACTCACTCCACACATTCTCCTGTGCTTATGTACATGTACAAAACCTTGTTCCTAAATGCAAAGCCTGATCTAAAACTCTTCCTTCACAATAGTAATAGAACCCACGATCACCACACCAGAAATAAATATATCTTTTTTCCCTAGAGTCAAACTAGATCTGTGCAAACATTCTATGCAAATAAAGGGACTCATTCTATGGAACTCACTCCATAACATAACGTATTAAAAAGCTCTCCAACCAATACCTTATTCTAAAGTAAAATTAAACGTACTTAATGTCCTCCTTTTAGTTTCCTACCCAGTGCTTCAAACTCGCACTGTATCTTGTGATAACCCCCCCCCTCCTCCAATATTAGTGCCTAAGACATTCAACTTCACCATTGTAATCACAACCATCAACTTATATCATATGTTGTTATGTTGAACGCAAATTTTGTTACAATGTACCTATTAACAATCTTCAAATTATGCTGCTCTGTACCTATTAATAATCTTAAATTTTTCCTATAATCCACCTAGAAATATTCTTAAAATTTTTCTTCAATGTACCTATTAATATTGTTCAAATTTGGCTACAAATTACCTACTTATAATTATCTGTTAGATTAAGGACTTCCCAGAAATGCAATGCGTGTTAGTAACTTTGCCACACTGTTCCGCACCAATGTTATGTACTCTCATAAACCCACTGTACCTTCTTGCATACATAAATAAAACTATAAAAAAACTGGCTTTACCTCAGCAAAGCTTCGGTCAGTGTTGCTTGTGTTGCTGCTCTGCCGACACCTCCAGCAGGAGGAATGGACTAATATGTCGCGTGTTTCCTGCAGGAGAGTACGGGACGCACATTGTGGGTGGGGGTGCTAGATTCCTGCAGGCGGGGTCTTCGTTGTCCTTGGAGTGCATCGTTACCCACACCCGCGCCCCGCCCACCGCCGTCCTCTGGTACCACGGTAACCGCGTCCTTGACTACGACTCCCCAAGGGGTGGCATCTCCCTCCAGGTCAGTACTGAGCTTTTGTCAGGGTCAGTACCTCCCTTTCCAGTTACGAGCCAGTTCTTCCCTCCAGGTTCCAGTTCTTCCCTTCAGGTTCCAGTTCTTCCCTTCAGGTTCCAGTTCTTCCCTTCAGGTAAGTATTGTATCCGGGCTGGAACTGTCTACCGTTCAGTCAGCATACCTCTCCAAGTCAATAGTGGCTCCCTTCTGGGCCATTGTGTCTCCTAGGTAACTACCGTTTTCCTCTTAAGTACATGTTACTTAGTCTCGCATGACGTGAGACGTTAGGGCTCTCAGCCTGACGTGAGCCTTAAGTCTCACTTTCTTATTGCCAGTGCCATCTCTCAGCTAAGTATAGGCTTCCTAGTACGCCAAGTGATTTGACACCATTCCTTTCCCCTGTCCCAACTCAAATCCTGATCCTCATATCTCTTTCAAGTGGATTTTGCTTTGGGCTTTCTCCCCATAATTACGCCCAACCACTTGGGCTGGGCGGTAAAACGACGGTCTAGCTTCACGCAGGTCAGCGTTCAGTCCCCGACCGTCCAAGTGGTTAGACAACATTCTTTACCCCGGTCCCATCTCATATCCTTATCCTGACCCCTTCCAAGTGTTATGTAGTCGTAATGGCTTGGCGCTTTCCCCTGATAATTCCCTCCCTCCTGCCCTCCCCATAATTACCTTATCTCTCTAGGTAAAACCTTTGTTAAAAGTTGATAACGCATCCAGCAGATGTATGTTGTCCTTCAACGTTAGAAACATATTACAAAGAAAAACTACCAATTATGCACGTTGGATCTGACTCAGATGAGAGGAAAAGCGTAGAGAGATGGTAAGCTCTATATTATATGCTTTCACATACCATTGTGGTAACCGTATTCTTGAAATTCTATATATTTTTTTTTAATTGAGCTACCAATTATTTTATTTTAAAAGCAATATGTTAATTTGTTTACAGTGGGCGCAGTTCCAATTTGCAAGTGCCAATGATGTTAGCTCTCAATGGTAAACAGGTCGTCTTGGCTTTGTGTCTTCTTTTTGATTGTTTGATGATAATTATCACAAGTAAAACTACCATCAAAAATCATCAAACTGCAAAAATTATCGAAACTACGACTACATCTACTAGTAGTAGTTGACATCCTACAGTCTCGGGAGACTATGGAGTTGCGCCCTGGTTGCCGAGGCTGGAGTGTCCTCTCCAACTCCCAGGTCGACAACCTGCCAGGGCTTAGTGCCCAGGGGCCAGATTCACGAAAGCACTTACGAACGTGTACAGCTTTCCTCAATCTCTGACGGCTTTGGTTACATTTATTAAGCAGTTTACAAGCATGAAAACTTCCCATTCAACTGTTGTTATTGTTATAAACAGCCTCCTGGTGCTTCGGAGCTCATTAACTGTTTAATAATTGGAAACAAATCCGCCAAAGATTGAGAAAAGATGTACAGGTTCGTAAGTGTTTGCGTAAGGGCTTTCGTGAATCTGGCCCCAGGGCACTAAGCATCGGTGCGTCTACTACTACATCTACTGCTACATCTACTACAACTACCTGATAAATTAGTAGCTGGTCAGTACTCTGCGTCTGTGCATGCAGTGCTCTCTCACTCACGACAGATATCATGCTCTCCAGGCCATCAATATTGATCTCCAGGTTAGTATTGTCTCTGTTACTGTTTATCTATACTCGTACGTTCCCCCAGGTCGATAATATCTCTATCCACATCTATCCATATTAGATGAATATATCTCATATCCATATAATGATGTAAGAATTCATATTCATATTATTCAGTGACTCTGTTTACATTTTGTCTCACTTGGTAGCATTGTCTCCTCATTTATCATCCCTCCCAAGGTCGACACTCTTTCCTCCAAGAGCAGGATTGTCACCCTTAAGGTGATTATGGTTTCTATCATAACGGCACTGTCTTCCTCAGCGTTGTGTATATATCCCCATGTCACTATTGACATCCTGCCAGTGCTCCCACTACTGACATCCTGCCAGTTCTCTCCACTACTGACATCCTGCCAGTACTTCCCACTACTGACATCCTGCCAGTACTCTCCAATACTGACATCCTAACAGTACTCTCCACAACTGACATCCTACCAGTACTCTCCACAACTGACATCCTACCAGTACTCCCCAATACTGACATCCTACCAGTACTCCACACTACTGACATCCTACCAGTACTCCCCACTACTGACATCCTACCAGTACTCCCCACTACTGACATCCTACCAGTACTCCCCACTACTGACATCCTACCAGTACTCTCCACTACTGACATCCTACCAGTACTCTCCACTACTGACATCCTACCAGTACTCCCCAATACTGACATCCTACAAGTACTCCCCAATACTGACATCCTACCAGTACTCCACACTACTGACATCCTACCAGTACTCCCCACTACTGACATCCTACCAGTACTCCCCACTACTGACATCCTACCAGTACTCTCCACAACTGACATCCTACCAGTACTCTCCACTACTGACATCCTACCAGTACTCCCCACTACTGACATCCTACCAGTACTCTCCACAACTGACATCCTACCAGTACTCCCCACTACTGACATCCTACCAGTACTCCCCACTACTGACATCCTACCAGTACTCTCCACAACTGACATCCTACCAGTACTCCCCAATACTGACATCCTGCCAGTACTCTCCACTACTGACATCCAACCAGTACTCTCCACAACTGACATCCTACCAGTACTCCCCAATACTGACATCCTGCCAGTACTCCCCAATACTGACATCCTACCAGTACTCCCCACAACTGACATCCTACCAGTACTCCCCACAACTGACATCCTACCAGTACTCTCCACAACTGACATCCTACCAGTACTCCCCAATACTGACATCCTGCCAGTACTCCCCAATACTGACATCCTACCAGTACTCCCCACAACTGACATCCTACCAGTACTCCCCACAACTGACATTCTACCAGTACTCTCCACTACTGACATCCTACAGGTACTCCCCACTACTGACATCCTACCAGTACTCTCCACTACTGACATCCTACCAGTACTCCCCACTACTGACATCCTACAGGTACTCCCCACTACTGACATCCTACCAGTACTCCCAACTACTGACATCCTGCCAGTACTCTCCACTACTGACATCCTACAGGTACTCCCCAATACTGACATCCTACCAGTACTCCCCACAACTGACATCCTACCAGTACTCTCTCCTTCATGGGGATCTCCTGATGAGGACTCTCTATCTTCAGGTCCCACTACGGGCTCACCATAGCCCGTGCTACTTGGAACTTTTGTTTCCAGGTAGCAAATCTTAAACATCAACAAACAACTTCAGGTCAATACTGGGCTTCTGCTCGTCAATAAACTCATCTCCAGGTCATAACATTCACTCATTTAGTCATAACTATTCCAGTCAGTCAGATCAGCCAATATTAAGGTCAAAATTGTAATTCCGAGGAAAAGCTCTTATTCAACTGGTCAGAAATTTCACTCCTCCCTGGAAACACAAACAGTAACTGTCTCTATTTTCCGCTTGTTACAACTTGTAATAAAGTTGTTACATCTTGGCTTAACGTATTTATGACGTATTAGAACGTTGTTACAACTTGCTATATTGGTTGTTATAACTGGTTAGGTGGTGTTAAAACTTGTTCGAACGTTGTACCAACGTCGTAGTTTCGGTGTGTGTTTGGAGGGCTCAGCACTCTTCAAGAAGTCATTCTTCTGGTCAGAACTGCAGCTCTTCTGGTGAAAACTGACTACATAGCGGTAGCTTTAACTACTGAGCTACTGAACATCCACACTAAGAGAGGCTCTTAAAGTTACGCCACAGGAATCCAATTGTGGTGGTGTTGGAAACCATTGTAGTGCGGTGGTGATGGTAGAACTTGTAGTGCGGTGGTGTTGGCAGCCCTTGTAGTGCGGTGGTGATGGTAGAACTTGTAGTGCGGTGGTGTTGGTAGAACTTGTAGTGTGGTGGTGTTGGCAGCCTTGTAGTGTGGTGTTGGTAGAACTTGTAGTGCGGTGGTGATGGTAGAACTTGTAGTGTGGTGGTGTTGGCAGCCCTTGTAGTGCGGTGGTGATGGTAGAACTTGTAGTGCGGTGGTGTTGGTAGAACTTGTAGTGCTGTGGTGTTGGCAGCCTTGTAGTGTGGTGTTGGTAGAACTTGTAGTGCGGTGGTGTTGGCAGCCCTTGTAGTGCGGTGGTGATGGTAGAACTTGTAGTGCGGTGGTGTTGGTAGAACTTGTAGTGCTGTGGTGTTGGCAGCCTTGTAGTGTGGTGTTGGTAGAACTTGTAGTGCGGTGGTGTTGGCAGCCCTTGTAGTGCGGTGGTGTTGGCAGCCCTTGTAGTGCGGTGGTGTTGGTAGAACTTGTAGTGCGGTGGTGTTGGCAGCCCTTGTAGTGTGGTGTTGGTAGAACTTGTAGTACGGTGGTGTTGGCAGCCCTTGTAGTGCGGTGGTGTTGGCAGCCCTTGTAGTGCGGTGGTGTTGGTAGAACTTGTAGTGCGGTGGTGTTGGCAGCCCTTGTAGTGCGGTGGTGTTGGCAGCCCTTGTAGTGCGGTGGTGTTGGTAGAACTTGTAGTGCGGTGGTGTTGGCAGCCCTTGTAGTGCGGTGGTGTTGGCAGCCCTTGTAGTGCGGTGGTGTTGGTAGAACTTGTAGTGCGGTGGTGTTGGCAGCCCTTGTAGTGCGGTGGTGTTGGTAGAACTTGTAGTGCGGTGGTGTTGGTAGAACTTGTAGTGCGGTGGTGTTGGCAGCCATTGTAGTGCGGTGGTGTTGGCAGCCATTGTAGTGCGGTGGTGTTGGCAGCCATTGTAGTGCGGTGGTGTTGGCAGCCATTGTAGTGCGGTGGTGTTGGCAGCCATTGTAGTGCGGTGGTGTTGGCAGCCATTGTAGTGCGGTGGTGTTGGCAGCCATTGTAGTGCGGTGGTGTTGGCAGCCATTGTAGTGCGGTGGTGTTGGTAGAACTTGTAGTGTGGTGGTGTTGGCAGCCATTGTAGTGCTGTGGTGTTGGCAGCCATTGTATCGCGGTAACCTAACCTAACCGTTCCAATAAATTTTTTAATTCCATCTTAAATCCTCCAGCATCTCACAGTCCCATTGTAACCTGGAGCGGTCTGTGTTGTGGTGTTGCTGCTGGAGTGTCTGGTGTTGCTGCTGGAGTGTCTGGTGTTGCTGCTGGAGTGTCTGGTGTTGTTGCTGGTGTTGCTGGAGTGTCTGGTGTTGCTGGTGGAGTGTCTGGTGTTGCTGGTGTTGTGTCTGGTGTTGCTGGAGAACCTGGTGTTGCTGTGTGGAGTGTCTGGTGTTGCTGGTGGAGTGTCTGGTGTTGTGCTGGAGTGTCTGGTGTTGCTGCTGGAGTGTCTGGTGTTGTGGTGGAGTGTCTGGTGTTGGTGTTGGAGTGTCTGGTGTTGCTGCTGGAGTGTCTGGTGTTGCTGGTGGAGTGTCTGGTGTTGCTGGTGGAGTGTCTGGTGTTGCTGCTGGAGTGTCTGGTGTTGCTGCTGGAGTGTTCTGGTGTTGTGCTGGAGTGTCTGGTGTTGTGGTGGAGTGTCTGGTGTTGTGCTGGAGTGTCTGGTGTTGTGCTGGAGTGTCTGGTGTTGCTGCTGGAGTGTCTGGTGTTGCTGCTGGAGTGTCTGGTGTTGTGGTGAGTGTCTGGTGTTGTGCTGGAGTGTCTGGTGTTGTGGTGGAGTTGTTGGTGTTGCTGCTGGTGTTGTCTGGTGTTGCTGCTGGAGTGTCTGGTGTTGCTGTTGTCTGGTGTTGCTGCTGGAGTGTTGGTGTTGTTGTGGAGTTGTCTGGTGTTGTTGCTGGTGTGTCTGGTGTTGCTGGTGGGTGTTGGTGTTGTGGTGGAGTGTCTGGTGTTGCTGCTGGAGTGTCTGGTGTTGTGGTGGAGTGTCTGGTGTTGTGCTGGTGTGTCTGGTGTTGCTGCTGGTGTTGTCTGGTGTTGCTGCTGGAGTGTCTGGTGTTGTGGTGTTGTGT